ATAGGGAAGTCTGCTGGCGGCTGCTGGGGGAGCTGTTCTGTCTCTATGACATCATATTCCGGCCCCGGTCTCATTCAGCAGCGCGCGAGGGCGGGAGAGCAGAGACAGAGACAGTCAGCTCCCCAAGCGAACGCCAGCAGACATACCCCAGCGGCCGCCAGCAGACCCTCCTATGCAGCCATCAGACCTCTCCCTGCGGCCACCAGCAGACCCAGCCGGTCACCCACAGGTAATATGTGTAATTCTGTCAGTGTGAGTGTATGTGTGTGTGTCTGTCTGTCATGGTGTGTCTGTGTCATGGTGTGTGTGTGTGTCTGTGTCATGGTGTGTCTGAGTCATGGTGTGTCTGTGTCATGGGGGGTGTGTGTGTGTGTGTGTGTGTATGTGTCTGTCATGGTGTGTCTGTGTCTGTCATGGTATATGTGTGTGCATTTAAAAAGTGTTTCTACTCACCTTTTTTTTTCTCCCCACGTCGTGCTGGTCTCCCCTCGACTGGCCCTGCCTCTATGGCTGAGATCATCAAGCTTGATGATCTCAGACAATCCAATGCTCTGCCATAGGATTGGCTGCAAAGGCCCTGAATGTAGGTGCTGCACACTGTGCAATCACACTGTGCAGCACTGACACAGGAAGCACCTCTAGTGACTGTCACTAGGAAGCAATGTAAACACTGCCATTTCTCGGAAAAGTCAGTGTTTACATTGAAAAGCCTGCAGGGACACGTTATAGACACCAGAACCACTACATTAACCCCTTAAGGACAAATGCCATGTGTGACATGTCATGATTCCCTTTTATTCCAGAAGTTTGGTCCTTAAGGGGTTAAGCTGTGTGTGTGTGTGTGTGTGTGCGCGCGCCTGCTAGTGAGTGAGCTGGCTTGCGTGTGTGTGCCTGATAGTGAGTGAGTGAGCTTGTGTTTTTATGCCAATGAGCTTATGTATATCAGTGACATTGTTTGTCTATGAGGCTGAAAGGACCAATATTATATATTAGAAAAAAAGCAATATATATATATATATATATATATATATATATATATATATATATGTATTACTCAGCCATCTGGGGTGGCAAGACATTGCCTTACATATTACATACGGCAATATATGGCGCAATGACTTATGGGGCTGACAAAGATTTTTTTTCCAGGGCTGCTTTGTATCCCCAGTCCTGCCCTGTCTGTCATGCCTAGGGCAGCACAGATCCAGGATACACCACAGCATTTATGATTACTACCTGGAAATCAAAATTACCTCTGGATACTTTAAACTTAATCTTATGTAAAATGCTTCCCCACCTTCCCTTAGAGTGTAAATTTGTTTCAGCAGGGTCTTAAAGTTCATCACAGATTGTTCCAATATGTCAGTTTGCATTTGTGACAGACCCATCCGTATGGACTAAAAGTACTGTGTTCGTCTGTTTTGCCGTTTGCATGAACTTCCCCATTCGTATGCCTTGTTTAAGGGAATGTAATTTTTTTTTTTTTAAATTTTTTGTCGAACGGAACTACCGAACGGACGGCCACCCAGAAGAGAAGTGTGCTGCTGGTTAACCTATTAGAACGTTGCGGTTAACCACAGACACTTCTCAATTAAAACCGAATACCGGGTGGTCGTCGTTCGTATGTCGACCACGAGGCGGCGGCCATTTTGACTATGCGAAAGCCCAGCGGTGTTCGACGATTATTTCATGGAACTCAAAACGGACACTTTTTCAACCGAACGCCGCTAAAGCTGTCGACTTCCCCTTCTCAATCGACAAAAGCATACGAATACCTGCCATTCGGGAGATTTAACAACACGAATGGAGTTAACCCAGATAGCCTTCCCATGGAGTCAATCGCATACCGAAGAACTGTAATAGACTTTGACTCCATGGCGAATGAACTGTGCGTATGGGATCTGAGCGCTATTCGCCAATAATATGCACTCAGATCCAGGCTATCTGGGGATGTGTTATACGAATGCAATACGTTCGGCAGTTATAAAGTTATGGATTTGAAAGTGTTTTGTAACTTTGAGTTAAAATGGCGATTTGCCTCTGCTCTGGGAGATAATTGAATTACTTCCCAATTATCTCCAGAGCAAAGGGGAGGGAACTGTGATGCATGCTGGGAATATTGTGGGGATGTATGTCCAAAATGTCCCCATGTCCTTCTGTTATTTCAGTCTCCCATTTGGTCCCCTAGGGGAGTGTCCACCAAGTGGGAGACCTGCATAAATACAGGCAGGTAGCCCACAGTAAACTCAGTTCGTGTTTTACCCTCAAAGTGGAGCTTGGTCTCGTTATTGGGGGGATTTTATTACCGGCGACTAGAGACTGCTTATTGGGATTACTTGCTGCTTGGAAACTATTGCCGTTCGGCTGCTAGTGGCGATTCGTGCATTTGGAGCTCGTGAAGGGAAGGAGCCGTACAGGTACCATTCGGGAGTTTGGAGTGTTCCCTAGCTGGCGGTTCTCATGGTTATACTGCATACGCTACCAGGCCACATTATTGCGAACTGGGAGCATTCACTAAACGGCGGCTTATGCATTTACTACTGGAGGTACCGTAACAACTGGTGGCAGCAG